TACTCGACGGAGAATAATGAACTGATTTTTCGTAGTTCCTCAGAACTCGATTTTAGTGGAAGGGGGTGTGACACTTGATGTGTCATTTCCGTACAACCCTTTGTTTTACTACATCGATTTCGTTTAAACACTATTTAAGCATCCGTATTCTTGAGTGAATCTGCTGTTTACTTCGTTTTGTCTGCACGATAAGGCGCTTGGTAAGAAATCCTTCTATCTAGCCTGCAGCGAAGTGGACTGGCCCCAAACACAAGTAGTCAGCGAAAGGAGTTTTTGATTCTGTTGCAAATTATTAACTTTAAACAAACGGTTTTTCTACCAATCACGAATTTATCAACACTGAATCAAAAGAGGGAGGGATAAAACGTACAGCGCATTGGCATCTCTCAGTCTTGTCTGACGTTGGATTTTAGCGGTCTGTTGGGCTAGATTACCAACATTCATTTACACTCATGTTTGATTGTGTAGGGAGTTACCGCGCCGTGTTGGCGATCATCAATCTTTTGTAAGTTATTCTTGTTACAGTTTGTAAATGTCCTTGCTTACTTGGTGGAGAGCAGTCCATAAGTTAGATGGTCTGATTTCTGTTTCACATCTGAATTATTTCAATGAAGCTGTGACAAGTGCTACTGTGATGCTGTCCAGAACGCTACTTCAGACCCAGGAGTAAAAATGATGTGGATTTTGTGCGCTATTGCTTTACCTCAACTAGGCGTTTGGGAAGACCGTCATTTCATGAACAGACAAGCAGTGAAACATACAATCATTCTTGAACAAATCTGAATGTTACGGTTTAGTGAGTGCAGTTCTAAGACAGTTTTAAGTTCCCGTACTGGCATGAAACTGCGCGTCACTATATAGACACGTTAAGATGTGCGGATGCATAGTTTTTAAGTCCAAACGTTGAGATGAATTGAAGAAATTAAGACAGAAACCTCAGGTAGCCACTACCATGATAAGCCTTTGCCCTGGGCGCAGTAAAATGGCAAAACGATATTAGAGTGGGATACGCGCAAATGCTTGTTAAAGATTTCTTCGGATTAATTGTGTGTTGTGGACCCCAGCATGTGGTCTTGAACCACGCCGGGACCAAGGAATTAACCCTGGCCTGATCACGCTTCCCTGATACCCGTGATGATGGAGAAGACCAGAGGGGACGTGGACACAACCGCTTACATCCGAGCTCAACAACGTTGGTATCGTTGTGTCGAGTGTATTTATACCTCGGATTTGAGTCATAAATGTGCTAACATCGAGACCTAGGTGTGAGGACAATCCAAGATAAATATCCGTGTGAATAAAGGGGGAGTTGAGGATCCGCGCGGCTGGTGACATGTTGCGAAAAGGGGAACCCTGTGTCGGAGGCTGGGATGACCGAATTAACGAGTGTGAATCAATGCGATTCACAACATGTGTGATAACTTATTCACAAGACGAATCCCATTCCTACTGAGCTCCTCTAATGTAATGCCCGTTTGCCTCAAATTTTGACAAGGATTTTCCTAAAATTGGGTGAAATTCAGTAGTATATTGAGCAATTAAGTGTGTTCGAGTGTGACTCTAATAGGTTATGGAAGCATGTACTTTTAACACAGCTGATGCTACTTCTATCATAACGTTATTAAATAGCAGTTATCTAAATACTTTTTGAGTCAATAGGATTATGATTGAAAATTGAAATTATCATGATATCTTAAATAATTTTACAAGTTTGCGTGTAGAATTTTCAATAAAAACATTGCAGAAGTTAATTTGTGTCGTGCTCCTGGCTTTGGATAGTTAAACACGTTTTTTTCCATTTCACAAACACATCCCCAATCAATACGGTAGAATTTGAAGATTCAAAATGACATTATCAATGATTCGGTCAACCGTAAACTACCGATAACCAATGAAAACATTGGTTACAAGTTAATCAATGACATTTTCATTGGACCTCACCATTTTGAGCAACTATGATTCCCTCGCGTTTTAACTCAGTGAACCAAACTAACCCGTGTTTCCACAATTATTTCGCTCCATAGTCGTCGACAATCTAAACCTCTCGTGAACCAGGTCGTAGCTGAATGTAAAAATGTTTGATGTAAGAGAACATCTATGTGTATAAAAACAGAAATCGTGCTGGCTGAAAGAACTAAATCTGATTGTGGAGGCTGTAATTGAGATCTCAGAACGCTAATAAACACAGTGGGTTTTATTTGCGACGTTGTTTCCGTAAAACCTGTTGTTTTACTCTGCTGGTTTTGATGGAATGCTATTTGAACGGGATTAGATTTGTTGTAGACGCTTAATGCCGTATTTCGTTTGTAGAGCATAATATCTAATCGATGTCGAATGTTCCGAGTTGTCTTTGTTGCTTTTTCTATTTGCAATTATTTAAATTTTGAATTTTGCCGTGTTTGACTGATTGACACGCTTGTTTGAATAACCTGTTGACAAAAATTAACATGTCGGCTCATAGCCTCTTGTTCTGTGTACGCTTCCTTTTTTGCATGTTAATCCAAACGTTTTTTATCATTTTAAATAACAACCTAGATTTATCTGTAACCTGGAGGTAAAATTTTGCTCAATAAGTGGTTCTTTTTGCGCTAAAGTGGGGATTTGGCAGGTCTCATAAATAAATTTGCTCTCACCAGGTTTAAAACATTGTGTTAGGATCAGTTCAAGGTGAAAATGCGTGTTTGATCAAAGAAAATTATAGCGATAGGCTAATGTTCAAAATTGGCGGTTTTCCTGAACCGGTTTTTTTAAACCAACTACGGCATACATTGTTCGCCTGATGGATTTAAACACCATCTAGATCTGTTCGTGGCAGCTGGATGACCAAGAAGGCTACTTCTTTAAAAGATTGCTTACATGGGTCTATCTACTTTTTATAAATAGCTGCATTTCAGTAGCATACTGAGCTTGCAAAAAAGCATTGTACAAATAATGGTTTAAAAGTACACGGACCATAGAACCGTCTATTGCAAGGATATGCTAATTACGTAATCCACAAAGTGGGTTTTTTTAAACTCCGCACCATTTTTCGCACTTTAAATAAACACGTGAAAGTTGAAAAGATTGTCAATTATGAAACGTGATTAGGTGTGTGAAGTAATAGAAATCGTGTGTAAGTAATTGTTAATGCCCCCAACACGTACCCTCCCTCTGAAATGTAGTACTGAAGGGGATTTGTTGGAGATAGTAGGGGAAGATTTCCACTCCACGAGCTCCACGATTTGAATGCGAGTTGATTCTGGCAATACTTGTGCAGCCTTTATGCTAGAAATCCATCAGGGTACTATTTGGCAACGGTTAGGGCCATTTGTGAATGCACAGAATATTTTGTCGTTAGAAGATTAGAAAAGAGAGAAGTTTTTGATTGTGGATGGTCGTCGAGTTCGGTGTTTAACTAAATCCCTAAATATGCTGGTTTTGGATGAAATTACATCGGGTTACCACTGGCGTTTCAAGACTAAACGTCTTCAATGATAAGTTGAAGCAGGTAATTTGTGAAAATGAAACCTTCTGCTTGAAAAACACCTGCATTACGAACAAAATAAACCTCGAATTCAAAGGTTATATTTGAAATATGCATAAAAGACTAAAATCGTAACTGTCGAAAGCATGTCGGTTGACAATCTTCGGGGCTAAATGTCATTGTGATCTGGACTGCAAGTTCAGAAAAATGAAACAGTAGTCTGCGAGCTCTTACAATCAAGCAAGTAACAAACAAATTTAAATTTTTTACCCTGAGATTGGAACCTCACAAAAACTACCAAATTAACGCGAAAATTAATAATCAAAGACATGATCTGCACCCTGGTTACTGAGAGTAGTCTAAGCAAAGTAACCGGATTTTCATTTGAGCATAAATTGTGATCTTTTCTACCGACACGTTGAAAATGGGAGCAAAGGGGACTACGTGGGGTCAGATCAATATTTACATAATTTGTAACTCCACCAAATTACCCCAAACATGCTGAAGTGATCAGCGACACCACGATATTTGCGTTTCCTACAAAGACCTTATAACCACGTACTTACAGAGTAACCACGAAATTGTTGGTACAGACGTCTAAAGAAGTGGTATAAAACATAGTCCATAGTAACTACGTCAAGTAAGCCCGGCAAAAAACGGAGTCTGGTAAAGCGACCATTTGATACCTAGTTAGCCGAAGCTAAAAAAGTTGTCATTAAAATGAGACACGGAAGAGATCTGCTTTGGTTTTCGTGAGAAAAGATTTAACAACTTATGTGTACATTCAAATTCTTTAACTGGATCATGGTTTTGATGTGCTGACTGCTTCAGGTAAAGCATATTTTTCCACGCCCGAAGGCAGTACGCTTACTCAAGGCGCGATATTTGATGGGCTGTAACTTTAATGGCCACAAACTGAAAGGAAACACTTCATCTCAAACCAACGTTGTTCAAACTTATGCAATATTCAGCAGATAAGGCAATTAGTGAAATAAAACTTGGGTTTGCTAGCTCGCAGATGTCCATTAACCTGTGTTTCGGCGCCACGGTTACGTGTGTGGGCCCAGACACAGCGGAAACGGCGTGCTTTTGCGATGGTCCACACACACACACACTTCAGCATGAATTACCTTCCTGCCTGTTCGCCAGGTTGCCTGCCTTACCACCCACCGTCAGACCAACGCACACACACGTGTTCACAATGTGTACAAGTTTGCGCTCTCTTGTTATCCGAATTTCACGCGCTAATTACCCACACACGCAAGATTAACCGCAGGCGCAGAAATTGGCGCCACACACTACTGCGCGCCCGGATTTTTCGCGTCCACTTCAAGCGGTAGTGGCGGAGAGCGCGTCTCCGATTGGCGCGTGGAGGGGGTTGGGGGCCGGGCTGTGGGAGAGGGGAGACGGCTGCGACAGTTGAACCGGCGCGCACACACACACACGAGACGGCGCGTGTGGCTAGACCGAGGTGCAACAGCTGCCGCAATAAGTTTTCTCACTTTGTTTTCACAATCCACCGCAGAATTTTGGCGCCATGAGAGCAATAACGAGGACTGGGGAGGAATTAGAGCTGTCAGTGCTGGTCCATGTTCTGCTGCCACTGCTGCTGCTGGCAGTTCAAATTGCAGACGCAACCGGCGGCGACTATGGTGGACCCGCGGACCTCCTTATCAGCAAGAATCGACCCAGACAGGTGAGGCGAGGGGGCCACGTCAGACCCGAGGTGCCGGATTACCTTCTGCGTCTACGGGAGCGACATGAGAAGGAGTGGATGAACTTTGGCCAGGCTGGCGGTGGCAAGGGTCCCAACCTTGGAATTATCACCTCAATTCGACATCACTGGCACGTAGGTAAGGCTGGTCGATTTGAACTACTCATTGATCAAGAACTTGTGGACTTTAAGCCTCCGTAAATTGCTTGACTATTTGCAGCTGACAAACACACACAAAGCCTAATTTTTGATGGATTTCCGATTTATCCATTTTGCATCGACTGCCTTAGTCAGTGATCTACATTTTGAGGCAAAGTGTTATACTGGAGTTTTGGATTTTGAGTAGGGTTATGACGAAGCCTATTTTTGTGTTTGGTAACCAGTTTACGTAAATCACTGATAATCAGCAGTCAGTAAAATTGTAGAAAATTCTAAAGGTTGGTAAATGCTTGCCCGCGAATGATTAATGTTCGGGTATGACATCAATGTATGGCTTATAACAACTACTGTAGTGCAAAATAATGTCAATGTAATATGCATTTTTTTAAATGTAATGCAATCTCCTTGCAAAGATGCTTTTCGTACGGAAGCCAGAGTTAATTAGTTTCAGCCCAAATGCGACCATTTCAAATGCCAATTTAACTTTGATGCCACTGTTGTTCTCTCTCAAATATTTACTACCTGAAATGCGACATTTTTGCGAACCCCTTATCTGCTAAGCCTGCCTTGTCATCAGATTTAAGTGATGTAATTAAATTTATGGTGCTGACACCTAGATACAGCCTCAATCGATTGTTACAATGTGTGTGTGTGTGTGTAGATAATCGTGCTAGCAGATAATCCACATACCATTGAGGCTTCACCTCATTCACGGCAAATGTGTTTTGGCATTCTTCAGCTAGGCGAAATCTCATTGTAGTTGATAAAAGACAACTACAATACTGATGTTTCAGGTCCGATTAAAAACCAAAAACGTCTTTCCGTAAATGCGTAATTTGTCATAGTTGTTTTGCAGATCATCTAATTCCCTGCTGGTGTCACTTTGGATTACGCTATATGGCCACCTCAACACTGGTGAATGCTCATCTTTGTGTTAACAAGACAATGTTAAAACTTGGTGTTTGCGCCATTTTCATTGGGTAGAACACAGGGAGTAGAGAGTTCTTCTAAGCCATAGCAAGGAATGCTACAGAGAAACACCTTATTTTGCGTTTGGCGTGGAATTTACTAGTGTGAAGAAGGTGTATATTTATAGATGCCAAAGTGTCCCTCCGAAGAACTATTTTTGGACATCTTAGGGGATAACTTGCCGCCGATAATGCCAACTAACGCCCTGTAACCACCGGCCCACGGATATCCCATCAGCAAGTCGTGGAAGTTAATCGGCTTGGCGCCAGGCAAATGTCACTTGTGTTGTTCGGTGGTTGTTTTTGCATGGCTTGAGCCTGTAAACCTTCTTAGCTCCGATAAGCCCACATGCGTTCAGGGAAGCGATATTTTGCAAGCGCCATTCAGCGGGTTTAGGTGAGATTAAACCCACTTCGACACTGTCGATCAAGTTAGAAAGCAGAATTTAATTCAAACGACGATGCGCATTGGTTCCGTTTGAACTCCGTGGAAGAAAAGTCGTCGCGACCAGACAGTATCCTTCAACGGGACAGTGAAATGTGCTCCCTGTCTGTGATCGATCGTTTTGGGGTTTCCAGAATCGATGCCCATATGCAAAGACAGTGAAAACTTTTACACCGTTTTACGACGAAAATGGCATCCACAAGTCACAATTTAGTCAGGAAAACTAAACCGATGAGCCATATAAACTCCAGCACCTAAATTGACAAGGTGACTTTCCGTGACTAATATTTATGGCGTGGATCTGTAAGCCAGGTTCAAAGTAGAATTTTGCGCTGGTTTCTATCATGAAATCCTTTGTTTGCAGGAAATGAGGGAAGTTGGACGTCTAACCGAACGCGAAAATGGCAAAAGCGACATGGCCTTAACTTCAGGCTGGCGCGGTTTCCAGACAAAGAACAGCTGGTTGCCGGCAGTGTGCGAATTCCGGTGCGTCGACGGAACGCCTCAATTCCAGTGACCGTCAGCGTGGTCGGTGTCGGCGAATCAACACGTGGCGAGGTGTTTGTGGAGTCGGGGGAGGGTGACAGGGGTTGGTTGAATGTCCCTCTTCCCGCGGGCTCCCTTCACTGGTTGCTGAGGCGGAGGCGGTTCCTTCGGCTACAAGTGGACTTAGCTGACACGGGCTTGATCGATCCCAGCTCCACACCGCATATTCTGACTTTCCATCGAGACCGTCAGCGGACCAAGCGGTTGCTAAGGCAACAGCGTGACGTCGCAGACACGCAACAGCCCAATAGTGCTCGTCCACATAGCATGATAGTCGAGGTGAGATGTGCCGATGAAACGAATGTCCATGTTCTTTGATTATTTCTTTACTTCATTCTTTTAATCACTTTTAATATCTCGTTTTAAGGCCTTCGTACGTTATATTTCTGGGTTTTTTGCGTTATCCTGGATTACTAATAAAAAGACGCATTTATACACGTTAAAATTGCATCAAGTTTGATTGGTTAGGAACTTGAGTCCCCAGGCATTGAGCACAGGTAAAAGATAAACGTTAAACCTCGGACTGCTTGTTCAAATTTGACAACAAAAATTTAAAATACAAACGATGTGATGTGGGAGGTTTGGTCTAAAACACGTTAAGTCAATTTCTGTAAAAAGGATAATATTTGACATTTTAGTTAAGTAGAAAGGTCACGATAGTTAAATGTAAGATTTTCTACAGATCAATTGAAAAGGCACGATATATATCTGGTCGATATTTGTAGATTATTTTGCTAATGTTTGGTATTGGATACGCGGAGCAGCTGTTGATTGGTCAGGAAGATAACCAATAGCAGCTTCTTTGAACTTACCTATTGCTAATGTCTAACGTTCATTCGATTAATTAACTTTAAGTTCCCTATCTGTGTAATTTGTTAAACCACAGATTTGCCAACAAAAACGCACTCACAATGGTTAGGTTTCAGCAATTTTCATTGACTATAAATGCGATCTATTTAGAGCGTAAGCGAGAGATTAGTCAAAACCACGTCAAATTCATTAATTTTTTTAGAACCGAAAAAGTCGATAAATTTTAAAGAAATGTTAAATGATGATCTTGTAAAAACAATTGTTCATGCTATTCACTTTTTTCAAAAGTGTAAATTCCTTGAGTCTAAGAGCATTATGATCTTAACCGTGACTAATTGTTCCCAACCTCCTACTTACTAACTGTCAGTAGCGCTTTTAGACCAAAACAACCAAACCAACAAACGCAGCCACAAAACAGCGCAAAGAGAGACGCGCACGCCGCAAAGGCCGAGGTGCTGCGTACTTTCGGGAGAAACACAACTCCCAATACCTCATGAACCAGCGCTACATCGCCTCCACATGCCAGAGACGCGACCTGATGGTTAACTTCGACGCAGTTGGCTGGTCGCGGTGGGTGATCGCACCAATGGCCTACGACGCCGGCTACTGCTACGGCCACTGTCCCTTCCCCCTGTCCTCCCACTTCAACACCACCAACCACGCGATCATAATTCACCTCATGTACAACCTGCAAGTCGCGCCATCACACATTCCACCGCCCTGTTGCACACCACTCACCTTCAGCCCTCAATCGCTATTGTTCTTTGAAGGCGACGAAGTGGTCCTGCAGGTGTATGAGAACATGGTCGTGGAGACGTGCGGTTGCCGGTGATATAGACTTCCGCGAATTGCATTGAGATAGCTCTGATTTCGACTTATTTGATCTAATTTCTAATTCCTCATTATCACATTTCTACTGGATATGCAATTGGTGAAATAGCCCCCCTTCCCTATTAATGTATCTAATTTGTGTATATTTAACGAGATAAACTATCAGATTGGAATTACTGATTAAGCGTCCTGAGTTTTATGCAATGGAATGGAGTTTCGGGGTAAACTACAAGTGGAGGAGCAAACAACTATTGGTGGATTTAAATAGTATTCCAACGAAAACAGCGTATTAAAACAAGGCATGAATCAAGGCTAACATGTGCATGTTACAAATGGCGTCAAGGTGACTTAGGTAAGACTTAGTCAAGACCACTTGTGTATTTAGTTAAATAACACACAGACAGGCCCCTGTGGCGACGGATCAGGGCGCAGACATATTGGACCACCTGGCCTCAGCCAATCATGCGTCTCTCTGCGTTCCAATGGCATGCGAGGGGAAGACAGGCAGCCAACCAGAGAAGGACACGAATGAGGAGCAGTATATATAGAGCGGGGTGGCCAGCCTGATGGACTCGGATGGAAGGCGTCTGACATGTGGTTCTGGCTTGTGATTGGTCAATAAAGCCTGGTCTGTTGTACCAGTTTTCTTCCTATTAGGGCTCAGGCATTCTACATCCCATTCACCAGAAACTCTGCAATTCAACGCCTTTGCATTTCAAATATGCACATGTTTTGTTCTTTAAAACAAAAAAAGTTTTTACTTGCTTTTTTAAAAAGCTTGAGTTAGGCTTGATTTACCCAAACGATTTATTTGCGTATTTGAAAAAGAAACAATTTAGAAATGACGCTGCAAAATTTCGTTATAAATTGTAGAATTGATCATTTATGCGTTGATATTGATGAAGCGATCTATTAAAACACCAATTGCCATGCTTAACTGTAATCATCATGGAAAGATAAAATTTGTACGCAATATTGTGCATTTTAAAGCACATTCTTAACAAAATCGTTTTAATATACGGCTTTTCAGCTCTCAGAAATGCTCGCTAGAGAATCACATCGAATGGATTTAAGGGTTGAGTGATGTAAATAGTGAGTTTTGTACCAGGTTATTCAGAGTTGAAACCAAGGTAAATGTGGCTAATTGTCCAATCACCGCACTCGTAGCATAAAACGTCCGAGTGATTGGTTGTAGAAACGATCAATAGATGTTTATACACTAAACGACCCAGATTCAACTATGGTTTATTGTCAATCGTACTGATTTAAGTCCATTAACCCGGTCAGCGCATCCTCTGACCTACTGACTACGCCACTTATACCACTTCTTAGACGTGTATGTCTCTGGTTGGCTGCTTATCTTCCTCGCGTGCCATTGAAACACTGAGAGACAGAGGATTAGCTGAGGCCAGTGTGGTCCAATATGTCTGCGCCCCTATACGTCGCTACTGTAAAATACCCAAGCCCTAATATGAATAAGACTGGTACAACAGAACAGACTTTATTGACCAATCACAAGCCAGAACCCCAAGTCAGGCTCCTTCCATCCGAGTCCACCACGGTGGCCATGCCGCTCATTATATACTGCACCTCATTCGTGTCCTTCTCTGGTTGGCTGCTTATCTTCCTCACATGCCATTGGAACGCAGAGAGACACAGGATTGGCTGAGGCCAGTGTACAATATGTCCGCGCCCTCAG